CTCTTCAGGGAGCAGAGATCAGTTCCTCTGGAGAAAACAGTGGACTCTGTCATTATACCCTGCTGAGGTCACCACAGCAAAATGGCACTGTTTGCCCAAAGCCAGAGCACTCCCCCAGAGCCTCTTTCTAGATCTCGTATTTATTTTCACAACGGGCTTTACTGCTAGTTATCAGATAAAAGAAGAGCAAAATTATTTCTAATATGGCTTAGGTGACCATATGATCCCTATAACTTTCATACCAGCTCAGTTTGCTCAGTGATTATGCGGCGGGCTCAGGCTAGAGACAACGATGGTAGTCAGGGCACAGGCTGGAGGTGAAGGTAAAGATGGTGAAGCCAGGGCACAGGGACACTCCTTGGTGTAAAATGCAGCTCCTTGGTTGAATGCCTGGTGGAAGAGCTCCATCTTGCAGGGCCCTGTGAAACTGTAAAAGATCCTGCAGGGCCCTGATCTCTTCCAGGAGCTCATTGCACCACTTGTCATGTTACAGATGAGTCCAAACTGTGAGCCAGAAAGTCACAACACTCACTGCCCTCCCCAGGACCTTCAGTTCCACTCTAATCTCTGCCCCACATCCTTTAAAGCCAGTTAAGAGTGTGGACTCTAGTCTGGGAGAACCGGGTTTGATTCCCCACTCTTCCACCTGCAACTGCTGGTGTGAACTTGGTTCAGTTCCAAGTTCTTTCAGAGCTGTTCTCGAAAGAGTAGTTCTCGAAAGAGCTCTCTCAGCCCCACCTATCTCACGCAGGGTGTCTGTCGTGGGGAGGGGAAGGGAAAGGAGATTGTAAGCCGCCTTGAGACTCCTTCGGGTAGTGAAGGGCAGGGTATAAATCCAATCTCTTCTTCTTCTCCCTAAAAGTTGGATCCTCCTCTGTGTCCCAGAACCTGCTCTGCCTATCTAGCCCCCCCCCCCCTCCCCTGGTAGGCCATTGGGGATGCCATCTCTGCCCATTGCATGCCTGGTCAGACTTTTCTCACTGGCACTGGGCTGAACTAGATGAAGTTTGCTTCTCCTCAGGGGGTGTCAACTTATCCAACAAAACCTCCACCACCAGGGCTGCCAGCTCTTTAGCCATGGCGCTGGCCTCTTCCCTCACCACACTCACTCTCCTTTCAAGGAAACAGACCAGGTACATAATTCCCACCTCCCTTTTGTATGCACATAACAATCCTGAGAGGTAGGTTGGCCCCAGAGAGAGTGTCAGATCCTACGTCAGCCGGAGAGTTTCATGGCTGAGTGGGGATTTGAACTCGGGTCTTCCATACCCTAGCCCAACATTTTCACCACCATGTCACCTCGGTTGTCTAGCCGAGCCTCTTTCTCCTCCCCCTTGTTTACTAAGCCTTGACTGTGCTTCTCCTGTCCACAGGCTTATCTCTCTCAACCACCCCTATGTCCAAATCCTGTGTTCTCCTTGATGATGAAGTGCTGGAGTCGAGACATCAAGGACCGCCCAGCGTTCGAGGCCATCCACCTGTTTCTCGTGGAGCAAATGGATGGGAGCATCTGACCCACAGAAGAGCCCGAGGGACGTGGTAGAGACAGCGATAATGTCAGGGCTGCCTCTGCTTGGCCTACCCTCCGAGTCTTAGGTGGGCTCTTTTTCCACAGTCCGTGAGACCATGTGGATTGCAGACAAACCGCTGAGGTCATGAGGACCTCCCGGGATTCCTCTGAAACACAGGGCGAGATGCACGATGTGAAACACCACAGAGGTTGCGTGGATGGTCGCCGTGACAGAAAAGAAGTCACGCTTGTGGAGCTTTGTGTCTGTGGTCAGAATCCACTTTGGGGTGAGTTCTCCCCAAAGGAGGCACCCCTGGCAGCTGCTGCCTCCCTCAGCCACCTGTGATCGTCGACTCCACAAGGCCGAGAAGATGCCATCTCATGGAATAATTTTGCATTCCGTCTGGAAATACTGTGAGAGGGTCTGTACCCCTTTCCTTCTTACTCATCATTAGGTGCCTGGAAAACCCCCCCCCCCAAATGCAAAACAAAAATCCATCTGGGGGAATAAGATACCCAGCCTCACGGGAATTATCTCCCTTCTTGGAAGGTGTTTTGACTCTCCCCAAAAGTCATTGTTGGCGTGTCCTCCTTGCTGAGGGAATCCCACCAGCATTTGCAAGGGGAAAGGGGGGGGGCGCCATTTGTAGCAGCAAGACTTACCCAAAATAGTGTTGCAAGGTGACATTCTCCAGACCTTGGATAGTGATGTGGTGAGTGGGGCACGTGTGAATTTTTCCACACTGGATTTTATCTCTCTCTCTCTCTCTTTTTAAAAAAGAATGTTAATGATCGTAGGGAGGCCGCTGGACCCGAGGGCCTTCCATTAGCTTAAAATTAAGGGGTTTGGGGGTGAGGGTGGGGGATCTTGTGGGGGGAAATAGTTGACACTGTTACTACTGCCTTGTGCTTGTGAACTTGTAGCCAAAATGGACTGACGTGCAATTCACCCTGTATCCTGGTCCTGTGTTAGGAAGACTCCAAAGAGGAAGTAAAAAATCATGCATGGAGTCTCCAGCTGACAACTTCATATTCACACAACCTGTTTTCTCCCTTGTGGAAAGACACCCCCCCTTTTTTTTATTCCCTTGAATTTCTTCCTCTCTCTTTCTTCGTTATGTATATATCTGTATGTCAAAGCTTTTGGAATTATCTCTGGACCAAATCCTGTTCCCAAAGCTGTTTCATAATCATGGAACTGGGTTTTAAGGGCACAGTGCGGCACAGCTGAGAAGTTCACTTCTTCTTTTTTTTAAGAAAAAGAAAACACCCAACAGTCTCAGAAAAGGGGATAGATAGGGGAAGAGTGCCTGTACCTGGGTAGCCCAGGCTAGTCTGATCTCATCAGCCCCTGGAAGCCAAGCAGGGTCTGCCCTGATTAGTACTTCAATGGGAGACCACCAATACCGGAGTTGTGATGGAGAGGCAGGCAATGGCAAACCGCCTCTGTATGTCCCTTGCCTTGAAAACCCCTTGGGGTCTCCATAAGCCATAAGTGACTTGACACCAAAGGGGGGGGGAGTAGAGCTAGAAAGAGGTAGAGCGCGTGTGTGTGCAGAGTTAGCAAGAGATCCAGTAGTCTCTTCTGTCCCTTTACTCTTGGCTAGCTGATGCAGAATGCATTATATCAGGTACATCTTTAGGGCAAAGGATGAGATGGTTAGACAGTGTTATCGAGGCAACAAACATGAAATTAAGCAAACTCCAGAGCATGACAGAAGACAGGAGGGCCTGGCATGATGTGATCCATGGGGTTGCGAAGAGTCGGACTCAACTGTGCGACTGAACAACAACAAACAAAAGTTGGAGTTTTGCATAGGGTACACCAATCTGATTGCCTGTTGTGGGTGATTGTGAATTGTCATGGGCTCCCCTGAAGAATCCTGGGAACTGTAGTTCAGAAAGGGTGCTTGGAATTGTCTGTTAAAGACCACTACTCATCCCTGCTCCCTTTCAGAAATACAATTCCCAGGGTTCCCTGGAGAAGAAATTATTATCATGCCTGGGATGTAGATAGGCCCAGTCATCAAGGTGTGATCTTCCCTTGACAGATCGTTTTAGGAGCAAAACCCAACGCTCTTACTGTTATGGGTCCTGTGCAGGCCATACAGGTGGTGTGGAATTTTTTTGGAATACAGGAGGTGCTTGAAGCTAGGAGATGCCAGGAGCTGTCATTGTAAGACAGGAGATTGCAAGTTATTTCTAAAAAGGTCTTCTGCAGTCTTGCACTTTCTGGGGGTGGGTGGGGGTGGAGGTCATTGTCAGCAGGCCCTCAAGTGAACTGAGCAGCAACTGGGGAGGGGGGCAGCACCCCCAAAATTAATTTTCTCTAAAAGATTATTTAGAAACAATCTGTGTATTTGGGAAGCCAGGAATTTTTGAACAACTGGAGTTTGGCACAATACTGGACTGTAGCCTTTTTAATTAGTTAAGAGGTATATGCAAATGACTGCAGCCTGATAGGTTGATCAGTGGTCTATGATTATCTGCAAAACCCATGCTATGGCCAGTCAGGTTTGGCCTGTGAACAGTGTGCTTCCTAATGGGCAGTGACTTCTCTTTGTTGTGCCTAGCTCCCTGTCTCCCATCACAGATATTTATGCCCCAGTGCAGTTCCATTGCACCTGGCTTCTTGCACCATGTTGCAGTTTGTCTCTGTGTTGAACAGTTGACCAAAGGTTGATTAGTGTAGTTATTCTGAATGTGAAATTCAGCTTTCTTCACTTGCCTGCATTCCACTGCAACTCCTGTCAAACCCTTCTAAATCCTGCAGCTTGTTTTCCCTCCCAAGTCCTTCCAGCTTCTTACGCCCTACCCATCCTCTCCTCCCTCCAGAGACCTCTGGCCTTCAGCCTCCCCCAGGTTCCTCCCTCTTTTGTCCCTAGGCCCTGTGCAAGGGTTTTGTTTTTCTCATGGCCAAAACTACTTCCCTAACAGCAGCTGCCTTGAGTTTCAACATTCCATGTCTAACCCTTCTCCCTCCAAAGTTAGAATGTTAATGAACATTCCATGATGTGGTTTATTGCCTAGCTCAGACAAGGATTGATTCCGCAGTACATTCGGTGGGATGCTGAACAGAATGGCCTCACAGTTGGGACAGAGCTCTGTGAGGTCGTAGGGTGGAAAACGCATGACCGAGCTCCAGTTCAGAGCAGAGATGTGTAGTGGCTTGAGTGTCAAACTGGAGAGACTCAGGTTCAGTTCACCAGTCGTGTTATGAAGCTCACATTGGGCGGCTTAGCTCTCTCTTTGTCTCTGCCTAACCTACCTCACAGACTTGTTCTGAGGACAGAAGAATGGGTGAGAGAACTATGCATACTGCCCTTTAGTGGATGTAGAATGTGCTTTTAAAAACAATTGTCCTCACAACAACCCTTTGAGGTAGGCCTCTCTCAGGGCTTAACTACATTGCCCTCATGTTCACCATGAGTCCTGCCCATAAGGTATGCACTGGAAGTTCCATGCTTGAAACAGAATTCCCAGATATGGACCTGATTCCAGTAGGCGCTGTGACACATAAGGAAAGGGAGTATAAGCCATCCCTCCGTGCTCATTTTCCTGACCAGAGTGCCAGTGTTTGCCCCATTGGGGAGACTTACATTTCCCCACAGGGACAAATAGCAGTTGCCTGAGTCCATTTCATGTTGGGGAAATGGTGCAAGTAGAAGGGCTTAGACACCCTGTTCCACATGCTGCAGACCTGGTCTGAAATGGCCCTTGTACGTCTGAGAATTTGGTTCTGAACGCAGAATTCCTAGCACCCATCTCATGGACAGGAAGGACCTGTAGTAGATGTGGCCAGGATGCAAGGGCAATGTATTGTGTCGTTAGGCCCTTATACCCATTTTACAGGGAGAATTAAGAGTCATCCAGCTTCTAGCCACTATGTCCTACTGCCTCCCTTTCCCCTATAAAACACATGCTTGGATGTGGCTTTCCCTCTTGATTGCAGGAGGAATAGGGGGGAAATGGTACCGTCAGACCACTGGGCCCTGTAGCCCACTACTGTTCACATTGACTGGCAGTGGTACTCCTGGGTCTCTCCCAGCTTTGCTACCTGAGGATGCCAGTGGTCAATATCGAGCAGGGGCTTTACCACTAAGCTACAACTCCCTTGGCGGGAGAATACAACATGGCTTGAGGATATCCTTACTGGCAACCTGAATCCGTAGCCACCTGAAAAACCAGTGTGGTTGCAAGCTTTTCTACTCACCCCTGCTCCTGTGTCTTTTTAACAGCAGCTCAGTCTTCAGACTATAGCAGACGTTAACATTTCTGTGCCGCATAAAGCATCACCAGCAAATTTCTCCAGATACTCACTGTTAAAGAGCCCAGAGGCAGGGTCTTTTTCTGGTTAGCTGGTAACTCTAGAAGCCAGTTGCCAAAAGCTTCAGCTACCCAGCAAACTGGCAAGTAGGGCCACAGCCAGACCTTGTAGTGCGTCACCCTGTTGTTCACAGGAAATGGTTTTTAATTATTTCATAAATGAGCAATGGTTCTGCACCCCTTGCCTACTATTCGTCCTGGCCATCCTGGAGGGGGGGGGGCATTTGTTTCTTTTTTCTTTTCTTTTTCCATGTTACTTGAAGTTTGAAACTGTGGATCCATCTGCCATTTGTCCCAGAGCACATACAATTCCCTCATCCCAGACAAGGCCTTCCTGTTTTTTTAAAAAACTAACCTTGCTTGGTTGTATGTTGTTTCTTTCGTCTGTTGTATGTCTGTGTACATATTGTATTTAGAAATGGCATTCAGATGTGTACATAGTATAATATATTGGGATTTAACCAGCAGTTCCTCTACAATCACACCCTCACTGTGGGGTGTTTGTTGTTGTTTTTATATTGACAAGTGACCAATAAATTTTGTTGGTTTTCAGTTTTGTGTTTTTTTAATCCTCTCTGCCTCTGCTTAAGGTTACCAACTCTGGCGTGGGCAGTTCCTGGAGGTTTGGTGAGGGGAGGGAGCCGAGCGGGGTTGTGACGCCAGAGAGGCCATACTCTGAAGGGGCCGTTTCCTCCGGGGGAGGTGGCCTCTGTAGTCTGGAGATTAGTCGTGATGCCAGAAGAACTTCAGGCTCCACCTGGAAGTTGTAGCAACCCGAGCTGCAGTGTTAGGAAAGTCTAGTAACGAATAAATATCCACTGCGAGGAACTTTTATAAATTAACGTGTTCTATTTACAATTATCGTTCTATAAAGTGCATAGTGTACTATTATTACACCCTTATCAGGTACATGCATTCAATTCATTCAGTTTAACAACTACCAGTCAATTTTGCATCAATATTTTTAAAAGTCAGTGTATATTTATTTGTTACTAGACCCACCTGGAAGTTGGCAACCCTATTCTGTACCTTGTAGGAAACCAGATCCATGCTTTTATATATATAAAGTGGTTAAGACGCTGAACTGCAGGCTGTGGAAGGTCGGTAGTTCAGCAGTTCGAGACCCGGGTGTGCCGCATGACGGAGTGAGCTCCCGTCTCTAGTTCCAGCTCCTGCCAACCTAGCAGTTCAAAAGCAAGAAATTGCAAGTAGATAAATAGGTACCACTTTGGTGGGAAGGTAACAGTGTTCTGTGTGCCTTGGTGTTTAGCCATGCCGGCCACATGACCACGGAAACGTCTTCGGACAGCACTGGCTCTTCGGCTTTGAAACGGAGATGAGCACCGCAACCCTAGAGTCGGATTCGACTGGCTTTCGAGCAAGTGACCCTTTACCTTTTTTTTTAAATCATCATTAACAACAATGTACATCAAAAGCATTAAACAAGCAACAACAAGAGATAAGGATCAAATCGTATCAAAAGCCTATTATGTAACAGTAAAAACTATTGTAACTATTTGAACATTTATCAACCAATAAGAAAGGGTAAGAAGTGCTGGTAATTATGCTACCCTCTGTCAGTAAGGCAAGTGTGAGGACTAGATTAGATCTGGATCTTAGATGTAGAAGATAGGAAAAGGGACTGAAAATAATATAGTATAGAGAAGAAGAGATTGGATTTATACCCCGCCCTTCACTACCCAAAGGAGTCTCAGAGCGGCTTACAAACTCCTTTCCCTTCCCCTCCCCACAACAGACACCCTGTGAGGTAGGTGGGGCTGAGAGAGCTCTTGACTGCTCTTTTTCAACGACAGCTCTTATCAGAACTATGGCTTGCCCAAGGTCATCCAGCCAGGTGCATGTGGAGGACTGTGGGGAATCAAACCCGGTTCTCCCAGATTAGAGTCTGTGCACTTAACCACTACACCAAGCTGGCTCTATATGCTGCCAAAGCGAGCAGAATTGATCGTCCCTTTGCTTAAGCAGGACTCTTCCTCTCTAGGGGCTAAATCTTCGTGGTTACTAAGAGATGAAGATAAATAAGTAACTTTGCATGTGGCTAAATTTTTGGCAGCTGTAATAAAATCATGTAACTCAGGTAGTAAACTTTAGGCTTCACTTTTAGTGTGTGATGACTCGCTGTTTTAAGACTTTGGTTGTGGAAAACAGTAATTAAGAAGACTGAAAATAAAACAACCAATATTGTAGAGCTTCAAATAGAGCTGTGCTGTGGCCCCATGTGCCATACAGTATGCAGTTCTAGTCTGAAAGGATACTGCAGAGATGGGGAAAGTTCAGAAAAGGGCAACCAACATTGTTACGGCATTGGAACACCTTTCCTATGAGGAAAAGCTATGAGTCTGGGCCATTCAGTTTAGAAAAAGACTAAGAGGGACATGATAGCGGTTTATAAAATTATGCACAAACCCTGACGTGGATAGCCCAGGCAAGCCCAATCTCATCAGATCTCAGAAGCTGAGCAGGGCTGGCCCTGGCAAGTATTTAGAATCATAGAATCACACCTTTGGAAGGGGCGATACAGGCCATCTAGTCCAACCCCCTACTCAATGCAGGGTCAGCCTAGAGTATCCCTGACAAGTGTTTGTCCAGCTGCTGCTTAAAGACTGCCAGTGAGGGGGAGCTCACCACCTCTGTAGACAGCTGATTCCACTGTTGCACAGCTTTTACTGTAAAAATGTTTCCCCTAGTATCCAGCCAGAACCTTTCCACCCTTCATTTAAACCCATTATTGCTAGCCCTATCCTCTGCTGCCAACAGGAACAACTCCCTGTCCTCTAAGTGACAGCCCTTCAGATACTTCAAGAGAGCAATCATGTCCACCCTCAGCCTCCTCTTCTCTATACTGAACATCCCCAAGTCCCTCAGCCTCTCTTCATAGGGCTTGGTCTCCAGGCCCCCGATCATCCTCGTTGCTCTCCTCTGCACCCACTCCATTCTGTCCACATCCTTTTTGAAGTGAGGCCTCCAGAACTGTACACAATACTCCAGGTGCGGCCTGACCAATTCAGTGTACAGTGGGATTATGACATCTTGCAATTTGGATGGCATGCCTCTGTTGATACACCCCAAGATCGCATTAGCCTTTTTTGTTGCCGCATTGCACTGGTTGCTCATATTTAACTTACGACCCACCCGTACCCCAAGATCTTGTTCACACATACTGCTACTCAAAAGTGTATTCCCCATCCAGTATGCATGTTCCTCATTTTTGTTACCCAGATGTAGAACTCTGCACTTATTCTTGTTAAACTGTATCTTGTTCACATCCGCCCACTTTCCAGCGTGTTCAGATCTCGTTGACTTCTATATCTTCTGGTGTGTTTGCTGCTCCTCCCAATTTGATGTCATCTGCAAATTTAATGAGTAGCCCCTCTACACCCTCATCCAGATCATTTATAAAAATATTGAAAAGTACTGGCCCCAGAACCAAGCCCTGTGGCACCCCACTGGACACCTCCCTCCATTCAGATGAAATGCCATTGACAACTACTCTTGGAGTGTGGTTCTCCAACCAGTTCCCTATCCACCTAACTATCCTAGTGTCCAATCCACAGTCCTCTAGTTTACCCGTTCAGAACATCATGGGGAACCTGGTTAAGTGATTTTAGTTGGAAGGGAGATCGCCAAAGGAATACCAGGATCGGGCTGCAGAGGCAGGCAATAGCAAGCCACCTGTCTGAAACATCCATGCCCCACTGGGGGTCCCCAGAAGTCACCATGACTTCCAGGCATGCAAACTCATACACACCAAAAAAACACAAAAAACCCTTACCAAAAATAGAATTATGCACACAATACAGGAAGTGGATAGGGAGATTTTTGTCCCTTTCCCAAAAGAAGTTGATGGGGAGTACACTCAGGACAGATAAAAGGAAATACTTTTTTACTCAACAAGTAAAGGAATTGCAGAATTCAGTAGTAGTAGAATGTCAGTAGATGTAGTGGTGGCCACAGGCATAGATGTCTTTAAAAGGGGGTTAGGCAGATTCAAGGAGGAGAGCTCCATCAGTGGCTACTAGCCATGGTGACTAAAGGAACCTCCATATACAGAGGCAGCCAAACTCTGATTACCAGTACTAGGAAGCAGCATCAAGGGAAGGCCTTAACTCCTGTGCACTGTTTGTTGGCCTTCTGGCACAACTGGTTTGGCTGCTGTGTGAAACAGGATACTAGATGAGATGGACCCCTGATCTGATCCATCAAGGCTCTTCTGGTATTTTTGGTATTTTTGGCCACTGTGTGACAGAGTGTTGGACTTGATGGGCCATTGGCCTGATCCAACATTGGCGTCTCATATGTTCTTATGTTCTGTCTTTATCCATTCCTTGTAATTTTTGACATGACAAATGGAAATTGTTTAACTGGCTTCCAAGAAACTTATTTAAAATCACTTGATTAAATATGTTTGCATATTGCAAAAATCTCAGAGACAGTTCCCTTTTGAGGCTCCCCTAAAATCTGTGTGAAATAATTTAGCTTTGAACAGAAAGTAGCTGAAGCAAGATCTTTTCTGGTGATAGGGATGCCCATATGTGAGCAGGCATTCCCAAGCCTAAAACCATGACTCATACTTGGAAGGGGCAGTGACTGGCACAGACTTGCAATGGGCAGCAGTCTCTTAAGTTCTGGTCATTTTGCAGCATCATTTCAACTGGAAGGGACTGAATAATCCAGTTACAGCTGATGCAGATCCAGCGGCATCTACCGATCCCCAGTAGAGAATAACCAAAAGAAGACCATACAAAGAGCTCATACAGAGATACAGCAGACAAACTCCTCTGTGGAGGTGTGCTTTATGTGTCATTGGAGCCTTATCTTTTCTTGCAGAATACTAACATGCCCCGGTTCCGAGCTGGGAATCACTGAAGGGGTAAAAATAGGAAAGATTTTAAAATGAAGGTGGTTTCCCCTGGGTACAAAACTCCCAAAATGTTCAGAATTGTAACATTTGGCACATGCCAGAAACCTGATCACACCATGAGGAAAACTGTCCCAGGAGCCAATAGGTACAGGCACAATTGAAGCGATCACAGGGAACAGAAAACCCTCTGAGTCCCGCACAGACAGACAAAGCTTTGTCCTGGGAGCTCAGGTGTCTCCTTGAGTGGCATTTCCTTGTGCTCATATTGAGCAATAAAGGCAAGCCTGGCTTGAACTTGAGGATCCTGAACTTCCTGGTTTGCACGGGTCTGAAAACAAAGCAAGAAGCATCAGAGCAAGCTCCAAACAGTTCCCGAGTGAGACCATGGCCTACCGAGACCTGGTAAGGAACTGGCACCAAGGCATCCTGGCTCTGGAGGAGGGTGACTGGGCATTGGCCTTAAAGATCTTCCAAAGCATCGAAGGGCCTCCCTCGAAGATTGAGTTCAACATTGGCTGCATCCATCTCTTAAAAGGAAACCTGGCAGAAGCACTGGAGGTAAGTCACAGCCATTTTATACATTAATTAGCAACAAACCCAGGCTTCAAATAATGCATGATGTGGAGAATGTGGTTGGAGGGAGCCTTTCTTCCCTCTCTCGAAAGACTAAAACTCAGAGGTTACCTGATAAGGTTGAGAGGCAGAAGATTTAGGACAGACAACAGTTATTTCTGTATTAGAGTTGCCAAATCCCCCTGATCACTGGCCGGGGGAGTTGGGGAGGTTCCAGGTTGGGGAGCTCCTGGAGATTTGGGGGTGGAGCCTGGGGAGGACAGAGACCTCGTAGGGGGGTACAATACTATAGAGTCTACCCTCCAATGCCCCCATCTTTTCCCAGGGGAACTGGTGTGTGTGCGCGCACGCACTTGCATGCCTAGAAGTCATGGTGACTTCTGGTGGCCAATGTTCCGTCTAAGCTGTGGAATCTTGTGAGCAAAAATTCTGCTTTGTGAGCCACTGGCATTAAAGTTGTGAGCAAGCAATTTGGCTACTGCATAAATTGGTTTGCTCTGGAGCCATCCTTCCTGAGCTAAGACAAAAATGTGTGAGCTGGAGGCTAAAGAACTGAGCTAGCACATACTAACTCATCTTAGAGGGAACACCTCTGGTGACCCCTAGTGGGGTTTGGTTGCTTTCAGAGAGGTGATTTGCTATTGCCTGCCTCTGTGTCCTAGCCCTGGTATTCCTTGGAGGTCTCCCTTCCAAGTACTTCCCAGGGTTGGCTCTGCTTAGCTTCCGAGTTCTGATAAGGTCGGGCTTTCCTGGGCTATCCAGGTCAGGGCCAGAGGAACTGATCTCTGTAGTCGGGAGATGAGCTGTAATTCCTGGCGATCCCCAGATCCCACCTAGAGACTGGCATCCCTATTCTGTATTAAAAAGATGTATAGAGGTCCCTGCCACATGGCAGAAAAAACAATCGGCAAAGTGCGGCTAATCAGAGCCGCGGCGGCGGGATCCCACAGATCCCCTGAGCCGCAGCGCCGTTGCTTCCCAGCACAATCAGATGCCGGGGAGGAAGCCACGGTCAGGAGGGGGAGGCTGCCGAACTGCGCATGTGTGAGCATGCGCAGTTCGCCAGGAGCCGGGGATGCACCAGCGGAAGGACACGCCGGCGATCCCACGGCCGGCCTAGATGCGGCCTTGCCGGAAGAACCACCTCAGTAGGTGGTTTATTTTTGCTGCTGCGTTTTGGGCAGAAGGGCTGGATTGGGGATGGGTGCGCACCGCTTCCCAGATGTTGCAGTGGGATCGCGCCCATTTGCTGCGCCCCCGATCCATCCCTCTCCCAGCCCAAAACCTCTCGTGTGACCGGGGCCAGAGTTACCTTTTCCTCCCCCTAAAATTGAAACCCAAGGCAGCTAACAAAAATAAAGCCATCTTGCCTTGTGGACAAAGGACAATAAAAACAGCAATCAGAACATCAGGCTCTAAAAACTTTTCTAGTTTCTGAGGGCAGCCGTGTTGGTCTGCGGTAGAACACCTGGATCTGAGTCCAGTAGCCTCCGAGAGACCATCAAGATTTTTCGAGTACAAGCTTTTGTGAGTCGAAGCTCCCTTTAGCTCTTGAAAGCGCATACCCCCAAAATCTTGTTGGTCTCTAGGGTGCTACTGGACTCAAATCTAGCTGTAAAAACTTCAGCACTTTTAAAGAATGAAAGCTGAGAAGTCAGGGAAGGTGATACCTATATTTAGGGGTCATTTCGTAGATAAAGAGGTGCAGGAGCTCATTAGCATAACTCATTAGCATATCTTATTTGCATATGCCACACACCCTGACATCACTGGAAGTGTGTCAAAAGGCAACACCCACTGTTTTGGATTGCTAGCTATTGGGGGGGGGGGACACACGTGCTGATCTGTCCTCGCAGAGGAGGGAGAGATTGTACCTGAATAAAACTTAATTAATAAATAAAATAAATAATAAAAAAACAATAAA